TCGACCTGAGTGAGTTGTCATTTTTCATGCTTTCGCGCGGAATATTTCTTCGAGTTCACAGTGAGTTTTTCCAGGCAGCGCTCGAGCGCTCATACGGTAAGACGGCAAACTCCCGGGGCGATCACCAGGATTGCTAATCTTTTTGAAACTGACTGTAGTCCGTGTTCGGATGTGCATGCGCGAGTAACTTCCTTCTTTGGAACTGCTTCTTGTATGAGCTGTTTCGGATATTTCGTCTCCTGGCCTGGCTTATTTCGTTTCGGCGCTGCTGAGACCTCCTTTCGCGGAATATTACTCAATGACAGGTGAGTTGACCAGTTCCCTTTGATTCATTTGCTTGTGTTGACTCTTTCATTTACGAAAAGTGTGCTGATTTTGGGCGGAATGCAATAAATAATGGAAAAGCTGCCAGGATCTCCTTTCTAAATTTAGCTTTTCCGCTGCCGAGGCCTCCTTTTACGGAATACTCGATGACAGGTGATCTCTGAGTTGACCTGTTTCCTTCGATTCATTTGCTTATGCTCACCCTTTCATTTACGGAAACGTGTGCTGATTTTATTCGGATTTAGATCCATTTTTATCTCTTTGCCCTTGTCTACAGTGTGCGAAGAACGCGAGTTCACCTTCTTGACGGTAAGGCTCATGTTAGATGTGTTGTCGAAATACTCATATTCATTGTACACTGGTACGTTACAAGTAAGGCACTGGTCAGTGGCATACTATCGTTGGCAGTTCCCAATCTGGAGGGAAAGATTCAAGGACCCATTGACTGAGTTTGCAAAATAAATTCGCATACGGTATCAGGGAAAATCTCCATTGTGGAGAGGTTCAGTAAACTTGTTTGCTTCATACGAAACAAGCCAATGGGTGCAGTCTCGTCTCGTGAAGATCTCGTACTTGTGTGATTGGATTTGTTTACTCGGTCTGGGGCTGTTTGATTTATTATTTGTGAGTACCGCCGAGATTGCACTGCCCCAAATAAAGTTTCGTGCCGCCAAAGCAAGAATTACGATCTGCAATCTGTTTGTAGTACCTGCAAGAATGTGCTGTACATGTATCGTACTTTCTCTATTGCTGTTTCAGTTGCCGTCATGTTGCTAAAGAAACGTTCAGTAGAGAGGTTCTGCAAAACGAAAATTCGAACGAAGTTTCGCGACAGTCCTTGCGAAAGTGTGTACAAATTTTGGCACGATCTTTGCGTTCTGCACATTTTCGTAGTTTGCGCGGGCCAAGTGCACGTACGCCATGACCCGATCTCACGAAATTTCCTACGACAGTTCATTTCGTGTTCCCTGCAAGTTTCGCGTCCAAAGTTCGTGCGAAGTTTCGCACTTCATGACGTAGAACGAAAGTTTGTACGCATTTTCGTTTTGCAGAACCTCTCTAGTGACTCATTTGTTTCATACGAGACTAGTCAATGAGTTGGTGTGGCTTAGAATCTTTCGCTGTAGAAGAAATCTATTCGTATGTCTATTGGAGAAATAATTGTATTCACTGGTTATTATATAAAATAGGTTAAGACAAACTCACAGAATAAATACCATCGGTCCCTTGGTGTTCGTCCTAAAGAGGTTCGACTGGATATCATTCATACTCACCAAAATATGTGTAAGATTTTATTATTTATGGAGTGCCTTGTTTATCTCTCAGTACCATCAAGCATAGCCTTGCCCCTTTTATCCTCAGGATCAGTGTAGTTGTTGGAACGAGGTGTTGTACTCAGCAATGTATTTGTTTACATTTTAATACATGTTTATTGTTCCTCCTTTGCTGTGTTGTTTTAGAAAATCGTGGACTAACAGTTTGAAGTCATTGAACTACTTCCAAAAGTTGTATCGACATCAACAGGATTACTATTTCAGTGCAATATGATGCAGGATGACCTTATCACGATAACCCACGATTATAAACCATTATAAACACAGAATCAACGAAAAACATCTGCGACACGCACCTGGTTACATTTCTCAAATAAATCTCATCCAGGGTGGGAAAATCTGAAATATCTGAAAGGCAAGACAATTTTATGACAGAGTCATGAAATTCTGCAACAGCAACATGCACAGAATGACCTCCGTATAAAAAAAAGTATCACCACGGTCCATCACTACTCACATGTTTCCCCGCAGAAGAACATGCTAGCCTACAGTCCGTTTCAAAAAGATTTACAATCCTGGCGATCGCCCGCGGAGTTTGGCGTCTTACCGTATGAGCACTCGAGCGCTGCCTGGAAAAACTCACTGTGAACTCGAAGAAATATTCCGCGCGAAAGCAGGAAAAATGACAACTCACTCACGTTGACACAGTCATGTACGTCTGGTTTACAACAAACGAGTTCTTCCTCGTATCGACAATGGAGTCAGAGAGGACATGTCGAAACGAAAGTGTTGTAAATGTTGACGAGCTGCATGGGTCCGTTTTGTGACCAAAATAGTTTCTTTGAGCTGCGATGCAATTTACTCACCGTGTGACGAAAACGACATCGACACGGACTCATTCCCAAGGCCATGACTTGGCAAAGCTATCCGTGTGACTTCGACGACATTTTGAGAAAAGCAGACGCTTGTGAACGCTGATAGAAGACGGCGTTGACTGCTAAATTCAAATAAATTGGCGATCTTGAAATACTAAAAATATATCTCAAAAAGCTACTGCGCGATGACTTCCATTATAATTCACTCACACCATTGCAGTGTTGTGGGTGTGTTCACATGGCGTGAGCCAGTCAAGTGTCAGTCAGTTCGGCAGGAAGCGCGAGCTCCAACAACAAGTCGTTTGGTGAAGCCATCTTCTTTGTCTTGTACCAGCTTGATCACCAAAACAATGAAAAAAAAAAGTTTGACTTGAGGATAGGTTGGGATTTGAACTCACAACTTCATGGTCAGCAGACAGCATTCATAACCACAAGGCCAAAAAGGAAAGAATAAATCGTGGGTTTTGATAAAAAATCGATACTGGCTTCCTGGGCAAATTGTAAACCATGGGAAAAGGCCGGAAACCTGGCCGAAATTCTAACTCCTTAACGGTTGGTCCAATTGTTCTGAAACCTTCACAGAACAATTTGCCGTGTCCTAACAAGCCATTCTATGTACTTTGTTGTCCAAATTTCCCTTATCTTCATACTTTTTAAGACCCAAACCTGATTGTAAATATTTTTGAAACAGACTATAGTGCCATTTTCTGCAAGAAAAGACTTGCACCTCAATGCGTATAATACGGTATTGATATGATGTGAAGGCCATCATTTACATATTGATATGATGTAGGGCATTCCATTGATTGGTGACAGAAAAAAACAAAAGAAATTATAGCAATAAAAACTGCTTTATGGCAGTTTTCTAAAAAAAAGTTATTGTGTTCTAGTCCATGGACCCCGTCTAAAAAGTAAGAAATTAACGAAATGTGATAGCCAAAAATTAAAATTTCACACAAAACCTCACAATAAGCACACCCAGAATGAAAAGCTACATGTAGAAGACCTTTTCCCCTCGTGATCCTCTTTCCTATGCATACATAAAATGCATGTTGCCAATTGTTGGTGCAGTACAAGTTTAATGTTGAAAGCAGCATTTCAACTGTTGTGATTATTGTGAGGTTTTGTGTGAAATTTTAATTTTCGGCTATCACATTTCGTTAATTTCTTCCTTTTTGACGGGGTCCATGGACTAGAACACAATAACTTTTTTTTAGAAAACTGCCATAAAGCAGTTTTTATTGCTATAATTAATATTTAGTGCTCTAATAGTACTCTTGGCTAGCATGCCACGCGAGCGTGACTCCTGGCATGGTGACTGCTCGCTAGTCGATTATAGTAGTCACTGGACGGCGCGTGTAGGGACTTGCAGGGGAAATCCCGGGGAGATCATTACGCTGAGCTGAAAACTGGACCCAAACCTAGTCTAGCTAGAATCAGTACTACAGTTGTGGCAAGTGAAATCCGACACTTGCCATAGGGGACAGCGCCTCAAATGGACATCAATGATGTAATGCACTGCACCTAATTTGTACTATAGAGCCGTATGCATCCCAAACAGGTCGAAAGGTCACAGCTTAGATACACACAGTTCACAAACATGGTACACATAAGGAGTATTGGTATCCAATTCCCATTCATTTTGCCAGCACCTTTTGAACCTTGACTGTGATGAGTACGAATTCTGTCATCAGACAGATAAAGTTGTATGCAACACATGTACTGTACGTATGCAGGGCTGCAGAGGCTGCAGGATGCACGGTGCAGTCCCTTATGCCAAGTGTCGGATTTCACTTGCCACAACTGTACATACTGACTAGTAGTACACTCATGTACTAATCTTACTACTACTACCGGTACTCAAGTCAAGGTGAAGAGCTAGAGGCGTTCTTGAATCTTGTACTGTAAGGGGCCGTCCGTAAATATCGATGTTTTTTTAGAGACGATATTGGTGCGTCTGGGGGGGAGGGGGTTTGAGCCATGTGCGTCTTTTCGAGCATCAGAAAAATATCGATGTAAATATCTGAAGTTTCGCCGATCCCTGCACGCGGACGTCTAAATGGCTAGACAAGAAATGTGAAACCAGCTTCCGTTCGCGGAGCTAAAACTCGCGACACAAGAAAAAAATCAAAAATTGGAAGCTGTACGCCCATGGCGAATTTCAAGAGCAAAAGAATGAGCTATTGATTGTGGAAATCGGCCGAACGATGCCTGCAGGAGACCTTCTAATGCAGCACAAGAAGGTTGCTGGCCACAAGTGTTCTCGAGGGCGACCAAAACAGTCATAATGCTCTCCTTCTCAATTAGACCATATAAATACTGCAAACTTGCCATCTTGGGTTCATATTATTGACAAAAAAAGGAAAAAAAATGAGCCGCTGATCCAAAAATATTGATTCCATGATCTAGATGTACATGTGCGTCTTCTGGGGGGAGGGGGGGGGGGTCAAGGGAGAGAAGCACCAATATCGTCTCTAAAAAAACATCGATATTTACGGACGGCCCCTAAGTTGTAGATGTACCACAAGAAAAAATTTCGGCTTTCCCGCCGTAGCCTTTGCGTACCTGACATGATTGTATTCTCCTCCACTGGCCTTTGCCTGAATGCAGGGAGTTAGAACAGTGAAAATATCCGATCAGTATCACAGTCATAATCTACAGACAAGCGATTTAGGAGGCGCTCGAGGATTGAGTAAATATTATTATGTCAGGGGCCGCAGCTACCGGCGGGGAGGAGAAGGTCTTCAATGCCGAAGATAGGAGGGTTCGAGTCCTGAATCCTAGGAAAACTCCCGCCGGGGCCGGGGGTCACCCAGTTCACGCCTCCATTTTCCAAGTACGTTCAGCGTGCCAAGCTTGCAACCAGGTAGCGCCTGCCACGTGCTTCATGGTCGAACAGCTCAACAAAGGCGCTCATCCCTGCTACTATTTCACGACTGCCGCACACGTTATTTGTTGCAGCGATTGTGGAGAGTATTGTTGGATTCAGATTGTGTACGAATGGGATCCCAAGGATTCCAAACCCAGTAGCACGTTCCTGCCGGATGAAACCTTTGTCGAGGAAAACAATGACCGAGGATGGCTGCGGGTGCCCGAAGACTACGTAAAGAACTGCGGAGAAGGCAAGGGAGACTGGGATCGCTATCTGTATGATTATGGCATTATTGCTCTGCGCAAGGACAACTTGGAACAGAGACTAAAGGATGAGCTTGACAAGCTGAGCGGTGCAAATGCAATGGTGCGCAAACCAATGGCTCAACAGCCGCGTATGGAGTCTGTTGACCAGGCGTTCCTGTGTGGGTTTCCTGGAGAGGTCAAAAAAGAGGCGGTGCGAGGTCACATGTACTGGATGCCCGTTGACAAAGCCAAGAAAGCTGAACCGCTACTGCATGACATCGGCTTTAAAAAGCGCAGAGGCCAGGAGAGAGAGACATCGGCACTGTTTGCCATGCCGCAACGTCATACGAATGACGGTGACGGCGACGGAAACAACAAAAGCAGCAGCAACCAGGATCTTGTTGTCAAGCGACTCTACCGTCACTACATTGAATCAAGCGGTGGACAGAGCGGCTCGCCCATATACTCCTACAACGATGAAGAAAAGGAGTACGTCGTTTACGGCATTCATGCCGGATACTGGCGCTTTGACGATGCCAAGTCAAATTTGTACTGCAATGTAGCAGTGCGGATCCAGGAGGTCTACAAAGACATGAGTGAGTGGATCGAACGGAAGGAGGCCGACAAGCACACTGCCAAGCCAGCTCAGAAACATTCCACAGAAAGTAAGGTTCATTCCGTGAGACATGAGACTACTGCTAAGTAGTTCAAAAAGCTAGGACTGTTCTACAGTAGAACTTAATTAAAAAAAACACAATTACCACGAAAGACGAAAAGGATGACTGCGAAAGAGACGGCAGGAACAGTAAAATAGCAACAGCAACGACCACGACAACCACGACGACGACGACGACGACAACAACAACAACAATAACAACAACAACAACAACAACAACAGCAACAACAACAACAACAACAACTACAAAAAGAAAATTCACGGTTCGCGTGAGACTCGGCTGGAAGCCGGGCTTTCCGCATCCGTAGGAACGCCACCACCCTTCAAGGATCAAGACGCAGATTCAGCTCCTAAAGCGGTGGGAGGTGAGTAGATCAGCTCACCAGCAAGTGGTCAAAGACCGAAAATCCCATTCACTGCATCCATATTTTCCTCGTGCCAGGCCAGGAGTTCCCAATTAACTGTGGGTCACAGCACGGCTGGAAAAATGCTTCCGCTTCCAAGCAGGACTTGAACCTGGTACCCTCTGTTTCTCAATCATGATCTTAGACCATCACACTATGCCTGCCTGCACAACAACTACAAAAACTACAACAAACGTGCAGCCACAATCTCACCCTCTTACCCAATAATTCCGGATTCCCACTAGGCCGATTTTGCAGCCGACATGGAATTGTATGACAAAATCGTGAAGATCGGTGCAAAAATTTGCCTGGTGTAAGGTTTCGACCAATCTGCGGCGAGTCTCTTAGTGCTTGGATATGGTGGTGCGAGCCTCTGACCAATCACTATTGGCTTGTCATCATGACAGCAGAGAGTGTCGGTGCAGATCCTGAACTGGCTGCACTTGATCGCTACTTGACGCCAGCCCTTCACGCTGTTGACTTTGCAGCTCGTGTAAAAACGATCTCATTTCCGCTCTGGCGTCTACTACGGTCTAGCATGGCTGCCTACCATGCGTACGTGTGTCCACAGAGCGCCACAGGCCAGCAAGAACAATCGCTTGTCGTTCGTTGTGTGTGAACCGGTAGTCCGAATTATCCGACTTAGACAGCCGATTTCATGTTGAAGTCCATATCATGCCTGGTTTCTGCTAGGTCGAGATTTTGGCCGATCGTGGTTTATCGATTATGGAATCATACAAAAAATCCTCAAGATTGGCGCGAAAATAACCTGGGGTGGACGGTGATGTCGCATGCGTTTTCGACAAATTTGCGTGGCTTTGTGTGTATAGGTCCGATCCAGTTGGCCGATCTCATGTGGAAGTCGGTATCGGAGCGTCGACCAAAATATCGGACAGTGTGGACCAGGCATAAGAGCATCGGCCGAAAATTTAGCCTAGTGGGAACCTGATATTACCCTTTTCCCATTGCCATTAAAATTATACATGCCATAAAAGCCCCTGTATACGCCCACTCGAAATTACGCCCACCCTCCGTGTACACGCCCAGTCAGGGGAAGTCAACACTTTTGTTTCAAAATAGCGCCCATGCCCATGTATACGCCCAGGTATGCCGGAAACACCAGTACATGTACAGGTACTGGTACTCAATTCTTACGGCTAACCTCATTCCAAGTATACGCCCGGTTCCAAAATAATGCCCGTGCCCTTGTATACGCCCAGGAAATCGAGGCTGCTATTCTATACGCCCGGGGCCAATACGCGGGCTTTTACGGTGTTTCTATTGGCTACAATGTTTCCAAAAATAATTTTAAAATAAACATTTTTGTAAGAATTTGTAGCCAAGAGAC